CCCGCCACAACGCCTGGCCATTTTTTCTTTTATGGCTGCAGCCATTGTTGTTGTTTGGCGGGCCCGGGCTGGATTTGAACCCACCACCTTAGGTGTATGTGGCTGGCACCTTAGCCACTTGAGCCACAGGCACCGAGCCTAAAGGGACATTTTACCTAAGAAAATATATGCATAAGAAATAAGCGCATGGCTCGGCACCTGTGGCTCAAGTGGCTAAGGCCCCAGCCACATACACTTAAGGTGGAGGGTTCCAATCCAGCCCAGACTGGCCAAACAACAATGACAGCTGCAACCAAAAAATAGCTGGGCATTGTGGCGGGTGCCTGTGGTCCCAGCTACTTGGGAGGCTGGGGCAGGAGACTCTCTCGAGCCCAGGAGTTGGAGGTTGCTGTGAGCTGTGAAGCTATAGCACTCTACCCAGGAGGATAGCTTGAGGCTTTGTCTCAAAAAAAAAAAAAAGAAAGAAGCACATGAAAAAATGTTCAAAAACTCATTAGAAAAATTTTAAATGAAACTACAGAAAGAGTGGTGCCTGTGGCTCAAGGAGTAGGGCGCTGGCCCCATATGCCAGGGGTGGCAGGTTGAAACCTGGCCTAGGCCAAAAACGGCAAAAAAATAAAAAAAAGCTATAGAAAGATATCACTATATACCTGTTAGAACAGTGAAAAAAATTTTTAAGTAGCATTAGTAAATAGTGGTATGGGTACTGAGAAGTTACCTCTTATACATTGCTGGTAGGAATGTAAAATGTTTTGGCTACTCTGGAAAATAGTTTGGTAGTTTCTTTAAAAACTAAACATATATATGCCATATATTGTAGCAGTTGTGGTCCTGGGCATTTATCTCAGAAAAACAAAAATGTCCAATCAAAATATCTCTCAGTAGTTGAATGGTTAATCAAGTTGTACATCCATACTATGTAATACTACTCAGCAATAAAAATGAGATGTGGGCCGGTGCCTGTGGCTCAGTGGGTAGGGCATTTGCTCCATATACTGAGGGTGGCGGGTTCAAACCCAGCCCCAGCCAAACTGCAACAAAAAAATAGCTGGGTGTTATGACAGGCACCTGTAGTCCCAGCTACTCGAGAGGCTGAGGCAAGAGAATCGCCTAAGCCAAGGAGTTGGAGGTTGCTGTGATGCCACAGCACTCTACCAAGGGTGATAAAGTGAGACTCTGTCTCTACAAAAAAAAAAAAAGAAAGAAAGAAAGAAATGCAAACAGTCTTGTGTCATTTTTTTTCCCTTGTTTAATTTTGGTTGAGACAGTTGCTACCCTATGCCCTGAGCAGAGGGCAGTAAGCGTCAGAGCTCACTGCAACCTCAGACTCAGGCTGTGAGCATCCTGCTGCCTCAGCCTCTGAAGATGCTGGGATTATAGGTGCTCGCCAGTGCCTGGCTGGGTTTTTTCCATTTTTTTCATGAGTTGGGGGTCTCTTTCT